AGTTGACATTTTTGTAAATAGACACTCTTAAATGGCATTCTTACAAATGTGCACACAAAAGTGGCATTTTTATAATTGCCCCATTAATTTTCATAGATAGCGAGATATTTTTTTTCTTTTCCATTTTAAATGTTTAGCAATTCATAATAATTTAGGATAGGCTTCTCCAATCCACCTTAATTTTTTTTCCCTAAATTCTATTTTAGAATAAAATTTATAGCAATTTTTTTTTACCTAAATTCGATTATAGAAGAAAATAGAGAAAATTGTAGTATTCCTCTATATATAGAGAAAAAAGTGGAGAATTACTATTTTTATTTTATTTTATAGCAATTTTTCTAAACACATAGATACATTGGAAAAGAAATAGATGAACTCTATAATTTTTTTCTATTTTAAAATAAAAAATAGAGAAATACATTGGAAATGGTCTTAGAAAAAACTATTTTTTAATATTTCGAAGCAAGTTTATCAAATCAGATACTTTATTACAAAATTCTAAATAATAGGATGACCAACAGGTTGTTATTAGAAAAATAGGACAAACAACAGGTTGTGGAAAAAATAAAAGTATATAACCAAAAGATTGATAATGAAGTTTTAATCATCCACATTTTAATCTAAACTCCTTAAATATCTCTAATTTTCTCAGTGGTATTGGGTGGGATGGTAAGTTGGTAACCTATAAAAATTGGGTCAGGGGGTAAGTTCACGCCACCTCTCACTTAATTATTAGCCGTTCGATTATTTATATCAAGCCAGCTCTATTTGGGCCTCATGAATTCGCGTTGATAACAAGATAAGATACTTTTGAAAATAATAAGCCCAAAATTATAGAAAGATTTGACATGATTAATTAGGGAACTGCTACTAATCTCTGTATAGCTCAAAAATCCTTTTTGAGTAATTTCATTGAGGCACATTTAGATACATTTAACATTATTATTACGTGTGACACAACAACATGTTACTCACTCAACAAACAATATTAACAAAATTAACGAATGTTTATAAACCAAAACAAAAGACCCATATCTCTCACATTTCTCTGGTTACTTTTTCTACGACGGAGCTCCGGCCAAATTCCCTCGTGCCAGCCGGAGGTGACCCGGAACTCGTTGCTTTATCTCTTCTAATGCACACAATGTCTCTGGATCGAGCCCTCCCGCAAACTGAATAAACATTGCAAAGATCAAAACGATCAAGCCTCGATGATTCGATTTAAGCAAAATGCTTTTATATTATATGAAAAAGTTTAGGTGTTGAGTTACCTGGTGCGTTCTGTAAGCGAACCGGACTCCTTGGAGAAGCAATGCTTCTTGAGTAGACTCTCTATCCAAGTTACGAGCTGATTCTAGCTCGTTCGCGACTCTATTCATGTAGGTTTTAGCAAGCTTGATCGACGCTTTTTTGATCTATCCATGGAATTAGAACAATGTTAAAAAAAAAACACAAACATAGTGTAACCGACGATTTGCATAGAGAGAAGCTCGTAAGAAGACATCATACCTTACTTATCATTCCCGAGTCAAGCATCCACTCGACTGGGATTTTAAAGTCTTGGTAAGAACGCATGGATGAACCGCGTAATCTGACTAACCTCCTTAACCTCTGCTCCGACCTTAATCATTCACGAAATTGGAGGTTAGTAAACATAATGATAAGAAGTGTTCTTCTAATCAGTGATGTCTTGAGAAATCAAGTAGGAAATTTCTTTACTTGTCTAGTAAATTGACCATTTTCTTCAAGGCAATACTGTAGTGGATGCTCGGATCATCAGAGTATGAAGAGAGTTCTTTTTCCAGTTTCTTTAGCTCGCGGTACTCAACGGTAGCCTCTTGCAGGGCATCGGCTTTCTTCTCAGGCCACTTGAAATGCTTAAGCACCGCTCGCTCATCGGCCTGTCCAACATTAGGCAAGAAGAATGCACACGTAGGTAAGAATGCAAAACTCGGTAAAATCTATAAAGCGTTCGGAAAAATGATATATATGACTAAAGTGATTATGGTCTCATAGATAATGATGTAAACCAAGACCATAACTTAGTTTAAAACGTGGAACAAAGAGGAATTAGGCGTTACCAGAGTTGCCAATTCATTATCAAGCCAATCCACAAATTTCAGGACATCTTCCATATCCGAAAAACAAGTGGTCAGAACTTTCTGGATAAGATCGTTGATAAAATCTCCCTTTGTCTCAATATCTGTTTTTATCTGAGGATAATAAGAAGAGCTCATCAGGGTTAGAATGAGATTGGCAAAGACTTAAACAGTGTTCGCAAAAAAGGAAGATTCGATTGCTTACAGCGATAAGATGCGCAGAACGGTTTTGAATTTCGTCGACTATACTGTTGTGAGCACTGTTAACCTGAGGCTTATTTCCATTACCAGACGGCGAAAGGTCTCTACTATTATCTTGCTTTTTCAACAACTGAAATAATTGTGAAACTGGAGGAGACTTTTGAGCGCGAGCTGCTTTAGCAAGAGGCCTA